CGGATATTAGGTGGGTATACTACCCGCAAATGATCCAATTAAACCTTCTTGAAGCCGACTACCTCTAAAATTGAATCTTGTTTTCCATGTGCTAGCAAAAGTGGAGTCAAACTTCCTTGATTCTTGATCCAAACCAATGCATAAGAGTATATTAAGTTATGTACCTAGCACCAAGCACACAAACATTTCCATGAGGCCAAAAACTATTCTAAAAATAAAAAAAAATGAAAGCAATAAACACGGGTTACTTCCCGAGAAAGGCTTGCTTAAGGTCCAAGCTTGACCGCTCTAGTAAATAATATTGCAAGGATCGTAAGAGCTTATCAAATGCACTACTAAACATTTCATAAGAAAGAAGGTAGGAAAATGACGGGAAGATAACGTGCAACAAGGATAGCGCACACAAATGAGGAGAGAGATGCCAAGAAAAAGAAGAAGAAGAATCAAAAGAAAATTCAACAAAAGAAGAAGAAGAAGAAGAAAAAGAAAAGGAAGGCAAACTCTCCTTAAAATGTTTTTTGGTGGCAAAATCACCCTTTTCCTCAATAATCGATGAGTGGGGAGCTTGAAGATCACAAATAGAAAGAGGGTCCCCAATAGGTTCTTTGAGAAAAGAAGGGAGTGACATGGGATAGGAGGGAACATGATCAAATTTTCTTGAAAATGGAATATGATGACGTGGGGGGATAGGAGAAATGGTCTCACAAATGATCTCATTTTCACCACCTTGCCTCTCATCACTTATAAGGGAATGAAAATTAATCATTGAATTCTCAAAAGAAGAACACTCGTGATCTACATCTCCCTCAAACAACCAATCTCCAAGAGAAACAACCTCATCTTCCAATTCCCTATCACGACGATAAAAAACATTTCCCTTAGAAATCTGAAAGCCTAAGATCTCAAAACCATGCATGAATGGATGCAAATTCATCTCAAATTCATCTCTTTCCCATGAAGCATTCTCAATGAACTCACTCAAAATGTCATTATTTTTCATTTGAACCTCACAAAATAAATGGGACATAATCTGAAATGAGTCAAAATACTCATGAATAGAGGAATCACAAACATGCACTTGGTCAAAATAAGAAAGAGGGTTTTGATTCATAAAATCATCATTTAATTCACTCTCAACTCTCTTTCCTTCACTCAAAAGCTCATTGTTGTCTTCCTCACAATCTTTTGATTGCACAAAAACATCATCATCATCATCTTCAATACACACATGGGATTTGAAAGATTCAAGATCATGCAACAAAGATGACAATTGGCTTTCTAGCTCTTCCTTTCTCCTTATTACCTCCTCAATACGCTCTTCACTCCTATTCATCATCTCCAATTGACTTCTCATAGAATTTAAAAACAACTCCTTACTTGGCCCAAAAGTAGAATCAAGCTCAACACACCTAATAAGGGATTCTAAATAATCAATCGGACACTCACAGGATGAAGAAAATTGAGGGTTAACAAGGGGAGAAGGAGCACAACCAAGATTGTAAGCATCAACTTTAGAAGGATGAGTATAATCATCATCACGGGGAGAGGGGGCACAATCAAGCATATAAGATTCATTATTGGGAGAAAAAGGTACATCACAAGAAGGCATGCTAAATAATGAAGAATAATGAAACACACCATGCTCATCAACATTGGAATGCACCTCATCATCACGAACAATAGGGGAAATAGAGTTGAAATCATTTGTTCTAGGTTCACTAATGAGATCATGTGACAAATCATGGGAATGCATGCTAACATTAGAAGAATCGACACATTGCACATCAATATTAGAAACAAGATTACCCTTATTGTAAACATCCGTAGCAAACCATACATAAAAATCCCAAGCATCATTAGTTGATAATGCTTTAAATTCACCATTATACATGCTTTCAACAATATCCCTAGTTTGCTTATTCAAACCAAAATAACAAATCTCAGAAGCCTCCCAAAGACTATAACAATTACGATCTACAAGTCCCTCAAGTCTATTGAAATAATCACAAAAAGGCTCATTATCATATTGAGGAAATGAGAAACATGCCATTTTTTAATTTTTTTTTAACAAAAACAATCAAACAAACAAAAAAATAAATAAACAAATAAAAAAAAAGTATACACAAAGACCTAGACTCAAGCAATCAAAAACAATCAAGCATTGAAATCGTTCCCCGGCAACGACGCCATTTTGATGGGCGTTAGAACGGCCGCACATTCCACACTCAGTCAAATAAATTTATAAATCCTAAAACTAACCCCTAAATAAGTCTAGTGGTAAGTTCGGAGTCGAACCACAAGAAACGGTAATGCTAGATTGTTCTTAATCTAATGCCTAAGCTATGCCGAAGTCGATTTACGGATAAAGGACACTACAACTACACTAAAACACATATAAAGAACAAGGTATGATAAAGTCTACTAGGGGAAAAGATCCACTTAGAACAATTAATAAGATAATGAGAATCCATTTGATAATCAATCATGCAAAGAAAGAATTATAATGAGAATTAACTACACTCAAAAGTAATCTCTCAAATTCCTAGCCTAGATCCCTCATTGACTAGGTGCATAGAAGAAAATTACCCAAAATGCAATCAAATATATCAATTCTAATTCACAATCCCTTGTCAAACTAAAACCAATATGCAATTAAGTGTGCTATCATGGGAGATCAATAAAATCTAAAACAAACAACATGCCAACATCAATTCAATCAATTTAATCACACAATTATCATCAAATTTATTTCAAATAACTCAAATAATCATTACAAAGCCTCACTCAACACCTAGTAGAAGGGAAACTACTCAAGCATAATGAAAGCAACTAAATAAAGCAATAAGAGAAGAGAAAGTAAGAAATGCTCATTGATATAAGATAGAGATCTTCAAATTCCTCATTTGATTATCCAAAATCCATGAAAACCATTGTGCTCCTCACTTTCTCTCTCTAAAATTTTGAGAGTTTCTCTCTCTAAAACCTAAAACTAACCTAAAATCTCTTCTAAACTGAAAAAAAATCCTTTTCTTTAATGAGCAAAAAAATCTATTTATACCCCTTACAAAATTGCTTAGGAAGCTCCGCAAAAAGTCATCTGAAACGGGAAAAGGTCCGACCGAACTCTGGGTAGGTTCGGTCGGACTCAGGGTAGGTTCGGCCGAACGCAGGGTAGGTTCGGTCGAACCTCCCTGATCCTTGTTTGGTCGAACTTTCCTGGTTCGACCCCTCCTGTAAACATGCTGAAAACTTGGTTGAAACTGCCTTGGTGGTTCGGTCGAACTTTTCAAAAGTTTGACCACACCTTGGTTCGACCGAACCTCTTAGAGGTTCGACCACACCTCCTCTTGAACTTCCTTTTCTTGCTTCCTCTCCTTCCCTTTTGCTCCTCTTGTCTTTGTCCATGCCTCCATACTTGGCCAAGGGGCCTCCTACCGTGCTTAGGACCGCCATGGAACCTGCAAAAGATAGCAAAGATCACGAGAGCATGGGGATGATAAAATTATGCATAAAGATTATCAAAACAAGCGCAAATAAGCATACTTTTCATCCATTAAAAAAAGGAAGCCATAAGAGGAGAAAAGAGGTAGAAAAACCTAAGAAAAACAGGAGAAAAGAGACCAATACACTACCCCTAAGGGTAACATAAATGTCACTCATCATCTGCAAAGTTCGATATTTTAATGAATGGGCATTCGTCGAGATGTTTCAAGCCTAGCAGGGGTCTTAGGCAAGGTGACCCTATCTCGCCTTTCCTGTTTATTATGTGTGAGGAGGGTTTGTCGGCTCTTCTTCGTGATGCGAAGAGAAAAAAGCTCATCCATGATGTTAAAATTGGGAGGCAGGTGGAGCCTATTTCCCATCAATTTTTTTGCAGATGATAGCCTTCTATTTGTGAGAGTGACGGAGGAGGAGATTGAAAATGTGCTTCACATTCTTTCTAGTTATGAGTTGGCATCGGGGCAGAAACTGAATATGGACAAATCGAAGGTGTCTTTTAGCCAAAATATTGAGCAAGAACGGTAAAATATGCTTCAAATGAAGTTATCTTTTAAGGCTGTCGAAGGACATGATAAGTATCTTGGGTTGCCGACTTATATTGGTGGCTCGAAGGATCGTGTTTGGAAAAAAACTCAAAGGGTGGAAAGAAATTTTTTTGTCTCAAGCGGGTAAAGAGGTGTTGATTAAATCAATTGCACAAGCTATTCCGACATATGTAATGCAATGCTTTGCTCTACCGGCTAGCATTTTGAATGAAATTGAGAGGTTATATCGGCATTTCTTTTGGGGGCAAAAAGGTGAAGAGAGGAAATTGTGTTGGATTTCTTGGGAAAAATTGTACACCTCAAAGAAAGATGGAAGGTTTGGCTTTAGAAATATGAGAAAATTTAATAGTGCACTTTTAGCAAAACAAGCTTGGCGCATCATTTAGAATCCAGATTCTCTTGTGGCAAGAGTTCTCAAAGGCAAATATTTCCCTCACTCGAATTTGTTTGATGCAAAAGTGAGTCCCAATGCGAGTTACCCATGGAGGTCGATTTTGGGTGCTAGAGATGTACTATTGAAGGGCGCCAGAAAGTCAGTGGGGGAATGGTGCTTCAATTAATATTTGGAAAGACCCTTGGATCTCAAACCTTCCTGGGTTCAAGGTTTCTTCGAGTCGAGATGTGAATGATGATGGACTTGTTTATGTGTGTGACTTGTGGGTGGAGAGATCGTGGAATATGGTGGCTCTAAATGCGGCTTTCTCTTCAGTGGAAGTTGCTGAAATTTGCAGCATTCCTATCCCTCTATATGATAGGTTTTGATGCGTGGGTGTGGCATTTTACAAAGGACGGGCAATACTCGGTGAGAAGCGCTTACAATTTGATCACGATGGAGCAAAAGCATAACATGGCTTCTACATCTAGTTCGAACTGTAATTTTGAATGGAACATAATATGGCACGTGAGGTCCCCCCAAAGATGAAACTTTTTGCTTAGAGAGCCATTAAAGGGGTTATGGCAGCTCGTCAGAGTTTGATTCAAAGAGGTATGGCCATCGATCCCATTCGCCCTTTGTGTGGTGTTGAGAATGAAAGTGTCTTACATATGCTTGTGCGGTGTGACGATTCAAAACATCTCTGGTATATCTCCCCTCTTTGTCTGGAGATTGAGAAGTATGAGGGGGCTTCTTTTGGGGAGTGGTGTGTTTCTTTTCGGAGGAGGCATAAGGATAGGCAGTGGTGGAGTTTGTTCTTAAATTTAGTGTGGGGAATTTGGCTTCGAAGGAATGCGTGGGTGTTTGAGGGATGGAAAGAGGATGTGGCTAAGGTTATCTATAAAGCGGTGGTCATGGAGGGGGAGTATGCTTTGGCTCAGCAGGTACCTGACTCAATTTAAAGCCGAGTTCTAAGCTGGAATGCAAATGACAATTACCTCCTCATGGGGTGATTAAAGTTAATTCGGATACAGCCATTTTCAGAACAACTGGTGTGGGTTTGGGGGGTGTTATGAAGGATGATGTGGGTGATGTAGTTGCCTCGACTTGCTTGCCTATTCATGGTAAGTTTGATGCTGATATCGCAGAGGCAATTGCCATGAGACACGCTTTGAGCATTGCCATTGACTCGGGTTTCAGGAATGTTTGTGTGGAAACGAATTGCTTCAAGCTTCATAGCCATTTGATTAAGTGGTGTGCTCGTGCTACTGCATTTGGGTCAACCATTAACGATATCATTCAGCTTTCTCGTAGCTGCCATTCTTATTGTTTTTCTTTTGTTAAAAGGAACGACAACCGGGTTGCCCATGCTTTAGCTAAACTTTACTCTTCTTTTGACTCCCTTAGGGTGTGGATGGAAGAGGTTCCTTCGAATATTGCTGAGATTGTATTGGCTGACTTAAGACTTTTGATTGATTAATAAATTTCCTTGATCGTTTCCCGTCAAAAAAATCTTCTACTTGTATTGAATCGCATTATTTTTTTTCTTCTATAAATTACTACCTTTATTCTACTAATTTTTATTTTTGTCTAATTGTTTAGTAATAATTTGTCTTTAGATCACCTTTTTTTTATTTTTTATTTTTTATAAGTCAAGAGGGGAGGTTGTGGTGTCTCCATGAAAAAACCTTAATGCCCCTATTGCCTTATACTACAATAGTTAAATAAGGATAAGAAAAATAATTATTCTATGTTTTAATTACATTTAACTAGTTTTTAGCCAGGGCAATGTCCCGGGTCATTATATATATTTAAAATGGAGATTTTATAATTAAAATTATGTGATGAAATATAAATATAGATTAAATTAGTTACATTTATTTCAGTACTCATACTATTTAAAATATATTTTCCTAATCATTATTGAACATCAAAATACATTATTTGATGTCTAGTATCCTAAAATTATTAGTTTACTTCATTATTGATTAGGGGATTTTTCCCTACCAATCACCATCTGACAAGTGGACCATTCAGGCTTTGCCAAGTGTCCGCCAAATGGGCCAATAGAGGCCTGCCATGTGTCAGGCGTTGATCTGTCCACCATGGACCAGTTGTGTCATGCCACGTGGCCTCCATATGCCAAACAGGCTAAACGGCCACCTAGGCCCAATTTCCAAGGAAAGCCCAGTCAGCCCTAGGTTAACCTAAACCTAGTATTTGACACGTTTTCCAAGGTTATAAATACTCTAATTAATCCTCATTAAGGGGGATTCAGCAATTAATTACTCTCACCTAGAGAATCTAAACACACTGATCATTCCTCCCCTAGAGGAACCAGATCTCCCAACCTTTACTTTTCTGCACTATTCACTCCTCATACAAGTTCTAACTTGATTGTCGGAGGCGAAACTCCCATCACAAGGAGTCTCCGTTGTTTTGCAGGTACAGGCGCCCGGATACCAGTCCTGGAATTGTAACTCTCTCACAGGAAATCAAAAGAAGAGAATGCATGTTCCTACAAAGGAACAGTCGGCTAAAAAATCCTCCCACTCTGGTAGGATGAAGTCAGTCACTGATCGTGCGGCAACCCCTCACCCAAAACTTGGGGCTAGTCGGCCACCGGTGATTGATTGGACAAAGTTTCACTTCTCGTCAACTGGGAGGAGAAAGCCCATTCGTCATGTTCAAGCGGATGGGACGAAGAAAATGTACACCGATGCTCGGTTGATGCTAGAGCAGAAGAAGAGTGACCGACTGTCAAAGTCGGCCTCTACTTCAGATTTTCAAGATAGTTTGCATAATACCTCCATGAGGTATACTCAATCAATTTATGAGAGTTAGACAGGCGGTACCTCCCTTCGGTCCGGATCTCATAAAGATCAGTCGGCACCGAATGTACCATACGTACCGCAACAACAATACTTCTTGCAGCCTTCTTTGTTTGGAGGGCAGGCGGCAAGAAACGTCCAACCATTGGACTGGCAACTACGGTTGCTCAAACTTGGAGAACAGCCGTCCGCCTTCTCCAAGGAAATTATAGAGGCCGCCCAGCCGGCCAAAGTGAAGAATGTGTTAGTAGGCGCCTATGATGAGGTAGCCTACACCGACTTTTTCAGAGGTCTTAAGGATGGGTCGACCTTCAAGTTCGACTTGGTCGTAAGAGGGTTGCGACTATCCAAGAAGCATTGATTGAAGCTGAAGCCTATATACTGGCGACTGATCTCTGTAACACTGGGAAACAGTTGGACGGAAGGAGGTCTGACAAAAAAGAAAGCCGACCAAAACAGTCGGCAAATAAAGATGAGGAAAAAAGAAAAGAAGTCTGGGAGGCCGACTCCTCTGAATAGTTGTCCTAGAAAAAGAAGAAAGAATTCAAACCATACTCTCCCAAGTATGCGTTCAACAAGGATAGCCAAGCTATCCTCAAAGAAATCAAGAGCCGGATCTCAATCGAGAAGCCGGCCCCCATGAAGGGTTCTGCAAGCAATCGAAACCAAGATAAGTTCTGTCATTTTCATGAGGATATTGGTCATGAAACCAATAAATGTATTAGCCTCATGCGCTACTTGGACCGCCTGGCTGAAAAAGGCAACCTTGACTCCTATGTCAAGAAGTCCAAGGGGAATGCTCCCCCCAAGCACAAGCAGTCAGCCAAGAAGAATCACAGGTCGGCTGACAGTTCTGATACTGATGACGTAGTCGTCTACACTATAGCAGGCGGCCCCACTATCAGGGGCAACAAAGACAATATCAAGCGGTTAGATGTTAATTACGTTCACCAAGGACGGACCGCCAAGAGTTCATTCCCAGAAATTGTCATCACAGAAGAGGATCTGGGAGGTGTAAGGGGGCCGCATGATGACCCCATTGTCATTGAATGTAAGGTGGCTAACCAAAGAGTTGGTCGGATCCTCATAGATACCGGCAGTTCCTCTGATCTCATCAGCAACAAGTGCTTGGCAAAGCTCAAGTACAAAACTGACTGCATACATCCGGTATCTCACCCTTTAGTAGGGTTTGGAGGAAGTGTTGTACATCCAATAGGATGAGTGGATCTACCCATCCGTCTAGGTGAGAAAGGGGAGTGTCGTCACATGGTGGTTCGGTTCTTAGTGGTTGAAGAACTGTCGGCCTACAACATGATCTTGGGACGACCCACCCTGAACAACTCTAAAGTTGTCGTTATCCCCTCTCTTATGTTGCTCAAATTTGAGAGGGATGATGGAACAGTCGGCTCCCTAAGGGGAGATCAAAAGATGGCACGAGAGTGTTACCTCTCGGATATCAAACCCACTGTGGCGGCTGCTGGCCTAAGTGGTGAAAAAACTGACCTTGAACAAATCAAGGAGGATGCGCCTGTCCAAGTGGCAGGCGGCAAGAAAAGAAAGGCTACTCAACTGGGGGCCGAGAGAAAAGAAAAAAGATAGCAATCACTGACAGAGGAGCGGTCGGACGAATTCCGCCCTTAGCCGGCTGGCGAGCACACGGATGTTGTCCTGGATGACTCTCGTCCTGACCGAACAGTCAAAGTAGGGACGACTGCTCTTGAAGTATTGGGTGAAGATTTGCACCAACTTTTGTTTATCCAGCCTGATGGGTCAAAAAAGACCTTCACGGATGCCCGGTTGTTTATTCAGGATAAGAGAGGTCAGAGTATGTCCCAGACGACTTCTACATCGACATTTCCAGACAGTTTTTGTAATTCTTCGATCAAGCATTCGGAAACTTACCCTAGGAGCCAAACGCACGGCACGTCCGTCCGTACTGCTCCTCATGTGATCCACCAGGCTCCATTTGTGCCTCAGCAACCATATGGAGCCGGATCACCAAACATGCAGCATTCTCCTTTTGGGGGAATGGCGGCAAACACAGTCCAGCCCATGGACTGGCAGCTTAGGCTACTAAACCTAGGGGAACAGGCTTCGGCTTTCTCCCGCAAAATAACCGAGGCGACACAGTCGGCTAAGGTCAAGAATGTGTTGGTAGGTACCTACGACGGTACCACCAACCCAGAAGACCATTTGATGGCCTACACCAACCTCATGTACCTACAGGGGTTGGACGACGCCGCCTGGTGTCGATGCTTCCCGACAACACTAAAGGGCATAGCCCAACGGTGGTTCGGAAACCTGCCGGCTGGGTGCATCAATAACTTTAAGACTCTTGCATATTTGTTCGTGTCCAACTTCTTCAGGAACATCCCGGCCAAGAAAACCAGTCTCGACCAAGGGGCGATCAGGCAGGGTGACAAGGAGGGACTTCGGTCCTATGTCAGGCGGTTCAATATGATGAGAATTCAGATACAAGGTCTGTCTGACGAAGTTGCGTACACAGACTTCTTCAAGGGTCTGAAAGATGGGTCGACTTTCAAGTTCGACTTAGTTCGCAAGAGGGTTGCTACCCTCCAGGAGGCACTAATGGAGGCTGAAGCCTATATACAGGCGACGGAGCTCTGTGCCGTCAAGCACCCGTTAGAACCTAGGCGGTCTGACGTAAAGGAAAGCCGCTTCCATCAGCCGGCCAGAAAAGAAGAAAAGAAAAGAAGTCTGGGCAGCTGACCGCCCAGGTCAGTCATCCCAAAAGAAGCAAAAGAAGTTGGAACCGTACGTCCCCAAGTACGAGTTCAACAAGGACTGCTCCTCCATCCTCATGGAGATAAAAAACCGCTTGACCATTGAAAAGCCGGCTCCTCTAAAGAGCGCTGTCAAGAATCGGGATAAGAGCAAGTATTGTCAATTCCATGAGGACATTGGCCATGACACCAATGGTTGCTACAGCCTCAGGCGGCTATTGGACTGATTGGTCGATGAGGGGGCTTTGAAGTCCTATCTGACAAAGTCCAAGGGTAACCCTACAAATGGAGGGCAATCTTCTAAGAAGCCGGTGGTAAGCTCTGACACAGATGAAGAGCATATCTACACCATTGCAGGCGGCTTCGCTAGTGGTGGCCCCACCATTCGGGGTGCCAAGGACAACATCAGGAAGTTGTCTGCCTCAGAGGACGAAGGCCAGGCGTCAAAAGACGTCTTCCCAGAAGTCTTCATCTCTGAGAAAGACAGGGGTACGGTCAGGTGGCCCCACGATGACCCCATTGTCATCGAATGTAAAGTTGCCAATCAACGAGTTGGCCGGATCCTAATCGATATCGGGAGCTCGTCTGACCTGATAAGCTATCGCTGCTTGGCGAAGCTGAAATACAAGCCCAGCAGTATGCACAAGGCCCCCCACCCCCTAGTCGGCTTTGGAGGTGGGGTAGTGCATCCGGTGGGTAGGATAGACCTACCTATCCGGCTGGGAGGCAAGGGGGAAGGGCGACACATGGTCGTCAAGTTTTTGGTAGTCGAAGAGCTGACTGCCTATAACCTCATATTGGGACGTCCAACCCTCAATGAGTCCAAGGCGGTAATCATCCCCTCCCTCATGCTGATAAAATTCGAGAGGGATGATGGGTCAGTAGGCTCCCTAAGCGGGGACCAA